AGATGGAAGGTGCTGCAGTAAAGAAAACACACAATTTTCAGCCATAACTCTGTATCTTCCTTTGTGGTCTGTTTCTCTTTCATGGATCATATTTTTGTATGTTCTTTCACAAACAAGCACTTTACTTACCACAAATATAAATCAGTAACAAAATCCACTGGAATATCTCCATCTGTATAACTAAAAAAAAGGCCAAAATATTTTATATCTTACAGTTAAAACAACTCATTAACAATAAATAGCTCATGGAACTGGAATTAACTCAATGGCTGATTTCTTCATAGTTCTGTCATTTCTAAATATTTATATGTTTATAACCACAGGCAAACACACTGCAATCCTAAAATCTGCTCTGCATTTTTTATGCTGCAGTGTATAGTCCAACCATGCAGTAAACCTCACGTATATGCCTGTATTTCCCAAATCATAATATAAATTTCAAACCTTTAAATTGAATTCATACGATGCTTCTGGATGTAGCTGAACTTTGTATATAAGAATGACATCATTGTTTCTGGAGTTACTAGCCTATATGTGAACAGAAGAAAATCAGCAGCAGACTTTTAACAGGAAAATATCAAACAAAATAAATGGTTTGAACACAATATATGATGCTTTTGGGTGCTATAAACATTTTATTGTTACTTGTTTGGGAAGAACTGCATAACTCACTGGGGCTCCACAACTTGTGAGTAATGCAGCCATCTCAAAATCTAGCAGATTTATCAGTCATGGTGTTCAAATGACAATCTGGGATCTCATTTCCTCCTAAGCCCTTATAAATTTGACCCAGTGTTTAACAATGGCTCATCTGCATGTGTTTCCTTACACCTCCATAAGACACAATTTGGATTAAAAAGTGTAATCTGATGGGAATATTTTAGTGCTAAAATCAAGTCGTAACTTCTATTTCGAAGAGCACTGGAAGCTTAAGAAAACTGTTACCAATAGCAGTAATTACAGGAGATATGGTGTTTCAGTTAGAGAATTTTTGCTAGAAATTAACAATTGTTCATATTATTAATCCTGCATAGGCAATAACTCATGTCTAGATGAAGTTCCAGCATGACTGCATTACACTGAGCCTCACCACGCTCTTTGACATGGGGCCATGTTTCATCCTCCATTTACAGGCAGCAGAGAGAGGCACCAGACGGTGATTTTCTGGGGTTGCCGGGACACTTTGTGGCAGTGAACCCCGCCTGCCTTTCGACACCGGGCTGACAGACCAGCCGCGGGACCCTTCTTGCACCTTCCTGGGAGGACTCCGCTTGGGTAAGGTGGTTAAGCCTAGCTGTAAGCACACCAGCCTGCCTCCATAGGTCCTTATTGCACTGTTCCTTGCCACAGCATCTCACCCTGCTAACGACTGCCCTACAAAGGATATTGCTGCACGCCAGCTACGTACCTGGCAGCTCCTGGGTCTTCCAATGTTTGGCTTCATTTGTGAGACTACTGTATGGCAAATGAATTCTGCTGGATGGAAGGCTGCCCAACAGATCAGCAGAAAGCATTTCGCTGGGAAAGTTTTCTGTAAAAAACACCTCTGTTGATTTTTGCCTCAACTTCACCCATTATTCTTTCGGAATTGTGTGGCTGATGGTGTGCACAGGCTCCTTCCTGCTCACAGACATCCTCCTCCTCTGTGTGACCAGAGCATTTTCCTGTTGCATCCCGTTGCGACACTGCAACTAAAGGCTTGTGGTGTCCCATGTGGCGGCAGCAGCGGGAGCAGACACATGTGGGAAGACCTACTCCTATTTCCATGCAAATTTTCCTGTTACTAATAATCGTTGTTTCAAAAAGGGAGCAGAAATCTAGCCCCCGAGGAGTGCCAAGGCTCGCTGTCCGGGATTAACGTTAAGGTGGCCTGTAAAGACTGCCCCTGAAAGCGACGAGAGCCGAGCGCTTCAGGGAGCCGCAGCCGCCTCGCAGCCCAGCCGGGTCTGCAGTGCGAGCGGTTTAGGCGGCCGCCCCGCGGGGGCCAGGGCAGCGCCGGCGAGCGGAGCGTTCCCGGCGCCGTC